TTTGCTTTTGTCATTTTTCAAATGTGTAGAGGAACTCAGTTTTTTTTTTAAGAACATTTCTCGATTTGCGAGTATCATAGTTTCAATTTTGCCGTTTTTCAAACGTGTAGATTAGGTTGTTTTTCGGGGGGGGGAACATTTCTCTTGCCCGAATGTTCGAATACAAGTCCATAGTAGACATGGAAGGTGGTGACCTCGAATCCGATAAGGCAAAATCCTTATGAGTCGTGATTGTGGCCTTATGCATCCACAAAAGTGTTGGCGTGAGTCTGCCGTAATAAGAGTTCTCTTCTTGTACTACTAGCAGGATTTGCGCTCACATTTTTTCGTCAAGAGTTAGTGGCCGGGGGTGTACCATTCAGCCGTATGGGGCGTTTTTTTGGGGGGTGGGTTAACTTCAGTAGAGTCACAAAACGCATGCAGCGCAACGCAGGCACTGCATGCATGCCAGAACTCGACGGCGGGATGGCACGGACGCAAGGGGGTGAAGCGCGCGTGTGGGCGTGGGATGGCTTGCTGTCCATCAGGCCCCTGGCTATGGCTGGCCTTGGTCGGTTGGCGCCGGCAATCCTCGTGAGGTCGCAAAGGGAGAGAGTCGCATGTGTGGTTGACCGCGAGGCAGGGTTTGCTAGCCGCCAACATACCATAAACGAAGCTTAATCAGGGGCTTCGGCCCCCTGGTCTCAGATACGTAGCTTTGTGGATCGCTGGTGCCGGATCGTGATGGAGCTGGAAACGTTGCTTGATGGAAGACGCTAACAAGGACTGTTGTGACTCTGGTCTTAGTTTCCTTGCTGCTGTGAAGGCGTGGGCGACTTCGACACGATAGGGTTGTGCTCAGTTCAATCTTGGCAACTGCTGGCAAGCTTCTTCCTCGTCATGATAGAGGAAGTTTTTCCTGGATGTGATCGTTTTCCATTGATGTTTTAGGCGTGATTTTTAATTGTCATTAGATTAGGTTAAGATTCTAATTAGTGATTCTGGTTATTGCCTTTTCGTTTTTTGGTTTTCCTGTTTGCTGTTTTGGTTGCCGTTTTAGGCGCGATTGTTAACTGTTGTTAATTAGGTCAAGAGTTACAATTAGCGATTTTGGTTTTTACTTTTGCGTTTTTTTTGTTTTCCCGTGTGTTGTTTGGTTGATTGTGAAGTGGAGAGATGAACATGGGAGTGTCGCTCTGCGAAGACCCTGTCATGGTGGCCGGCGGGGCTTTTAGGGGGTTGATGCTGACTGGCGGCAGCAGTTTGTCCTAAATCGCGAGGAGGAGGGTGGGTTTGCAGGGTCTTTCGACCCTTGCCGCACGGGTGGTAGGGCATTCGTGCAGGTTTGTTGATGTTTCGGAATCGCGTTCGTTTCTCCACAAGTGCTTTGGGTCTTTCCTATCATCCTTTTCTTATGGACTGGATAGCGTCGCTCTGTAGGATCTTCATCATGGAGGGAGGTGAAGACCCCATTTGGGGAGTGCACGTGGATGGGGGTGTGGAATACCCTAAATCGCGAGAAGGTGTGTTGGCTTTGCGGGGCCTTTGGCCCCTGCCGCGCGGGTCGTAGGGTATTTCTGAGGGTTGTTGAACCACCATCATGGAGGGAGTTCGTGTTTTAGGGTAGGCAATGTGGGGGGTGGAGTGATCTGCTTCGAATTGCAAGGAGGTGGGTGGGTTTGCGGGGTCTGTGGTCACAGAACCCCACCGCGCGGGTGGCAGGGTGGATCTCAGGGTTGGGTGATTTTCAAGGGTGGTAGGCTTTGCCTTTGTAGGGTTTGTTTTTGTGATGTTTTTTTTTTAGGTCCTAATCTGTGTTGTGCACATAACTTTTTCACATGATGTGAGGGACGTTGGACCTGTTTTCCGGCTTTTATAATTCGAAAGCGGTTGTCGTATGAACCAGACCAGAGTGCTTGGATGATACAACACTTTGGCCGCCCTTGAAAAAAAAAGAAAAAAAGAAAAGAAAAGAAAAGAAAAAAAGAAAGATACAGTTTGCAATTGCACTTTGGGCACCCTACCTGGCGAGAAAGCTGGACTGTATACATTGCCCTGCAATTAGAAACTGTATCTTGGCCGATACTGCAATTATAAATCATTTTTGTGACTCCCGTGTAGTTTCCCCTTCTTTTCTTTTCTTTGTGGGCTGGTGTTTTGTTTGTTGCCTATCAATTAGCCATATGGGCGGTTTTTTCTTTTTTTTTTCATGGGTGTTTTTCCAACCCACGCAGCATCGCCCACCTACACCACACTGTAGCTGAATAGTATGCTCTAAGGGCGAGATTCCACAGGAAAGCGGAAAGGAAACAACGCAGACCATTTCCGCAGGTGTTTCCCATGGCAAACACTCGAGTTTCCACAGGAACAGTATGCTCTAAGGGCGGGATTTTCCAAGAATTACTCGGGCACGATCGGACGATGGGCCACCACGTTGCAGAGTATGGACTTTGACATTCGTCATCGGAAACACGAGAAACAAAGCAACGCGGACGGGCTGGCACGGCTCCACCACCCCGACAAGGTACCCAGGAGTGAGAAAGTGATCCCTTGGCGCGATCCAGAGCCAAAGAACGAGCCTCAGTACGGACAAGTGGAGATCCTGCCGAAGGGTTAAGTGGACACGTGCACCCTGCTTCTCTCTCCCTCCCTCTCTCAGAACAATGGAAACTCCCCCTATCTCGGTCTCTCCCGACTCTTCTGCTCCCCTCTCTCACTCGGACTTTCTCGCCAATCTCCCGGACAAGTTTTGTTATTTTTGCACATGTATTTCCCGAGTTTATGGGGTAGACTGCTATCCCTTTGAGTCTGGATTTACCGACTGGGTAGAATGCGTCACGTGTGTCAATCGTGCACATGGCGCGTGTGTTCGATACAGAACGAGTAGTAAGGAATGGAAATGCCCCCTGTGTAGGACGGACAAACTCCCTACGGAGGTTCGGTTCGAGGCTGCCCGAACGAACGACCCTGAATACGATGAGAAGTATCGACGGGCGGAGGTATGGACAGATAAAATATTATTAACTAAATTAGTTGGCCAACCGTTGGACCATCTCACTAAGCACGACAGGCGTCGGGCTACCGAAAGATCTCGAGATTATCGATGGATCAACAAACATCTAGAGAAGCGTAAGACAGACGACTTAGAATTATGGTTGACTGTTCCCCATCCCTTCCATAGATATGATTGGACTAGATCGGCACACGAGGAACAGGCTGCTCATTTTGCAATACGTGTCACTGAGGCAACTAGCGATCAAAATCGATGGTTCTGGTCTAATATCCGGGATGATGTGAAGCACGTGGTTGCTAACTGTTTGGTCTGTGCGGCCGACCGTGCACCCATTCGTGGACCAAATACGATCGTCCCGACAGAAGTAGAACGACCTTTTCAGCGGGTCAGTATGGATACGACGGATATGGACGTGCCACTTGGCCCCAACCGCTGCGAGTATTCTATCCTCTCGGTATTAATCGGCCATTTTTCGAAATATATCGAAGTCTACCTGTGTAAGGCCCGCAAGGCCTCAGAAATAGCCACATACATCGATCGATTCCTCAATACCCATCTAGATACAGAGGAGATCGTGTGAGGTAGAGGAATTACTAATGCGTCGTGGCGTTACTCTTTGACACACCACTCCCCATGTTTCCCAGTCGAACGGGTTGGCTGAGAATGTGAATCGCATGATTAAGACCGCCCTCCGTAAGAACTTAGCGGCTCGTGACGCGTCCTTGGCCCGAGATCGTCTATCAGATCGTCGGGATCCATCGAGCGACCCCTCATGAATCCACGGGGTTCACACCCTTCCAGCTTCGGACCAATAGCCTTTCATGTGTCGATAATCGGGGTATCACCGAAATTGCCGAAAAAGGGGGTAGGGACACGCGTGCGGCCCTTAAGGCCAAAACCAAGCGATATGCGGACTTAATGGAAAGGGTCGTTGCTAAGCTGGCCCGGAAAAGACAGAAAATGACCAAACTGGCCCACGGTACACATGTCCGTAGCTAGAGGCCCGGAATGGGAATGCGGGCCCGCAACACCAATATAAGCTAGGCAAATGTGCACGCGACCGTAAACTCGCTCGCAAATTCTCTGGCTGCTTTCGCGTTGTAGAACTCGGTCCTAACGAAGCCAACACGGTGCGCATTGTGCCTGAGGCCAGCGCCAGCCATAGCTCCCTTCCCATTGTCCGTCACACCTCCTACCTCCGCCCTCTCCCTCCTTCTGAGAACCCCAACCCATCTTCTTCTCCTTCCTCCAGCGCAGACGAGGAACTTGTTTCCTTTCCTTCCTCTGAATCTACCTCCCCCTCACCTTCGCCATGAGTTTTGTCATTGAGACGGCCCTTCCACCTCAACTTCTTCATCCTCGAACTTTATTGCAATTTCGCCTAGTCACGCACCCCGTCTCAGTCCTGACCTTCTCCGATTTGCGCAGCTCTTCAACGACGGGGCTTGGTGCGCCGCCGTTGAGATAACTATATCAACCGATTGAGGCTCGACAGTCATCTTGGCAGAGGCGTCGGGATTTCGTCGCTTCTCACGACCTACTCAGAACGACGTGACGATAATCGTGGCTTTCAGTGGCGATCTGTGTACCATCGGCTTGCAGCGGCGCGATGCGGTAGTGACCAGTCTTTACGAGTGGGGACAGGAGTTGGCAGCTGATTGGCGGCAGCGACTGGCCCAGCCAAGGCGACAAGTAGTGGGGACTGACCGTATTGATACGTTCTCCCTTCGGACTAGCGCCACTGATCGCCCCTCTCGCCCGCTTCCCCATCTCCATCCCTACCCCGAGCGCTGATGAATCGTTTCTCCACCTTCTCTCTCCCCTCCGACCTCCCGATCATCTGGCCATTTTGGGCCGACCCCCTTCGCACTCTGGAAATTCATCCCGCCTCAACCCCTCCATTTAGTCCAGCTTACATCCGCAAGTGGGCCGAATTCGCGACGGTTAGTGTGTGTATGCTCACAGTAAAGTGCCACTGGTCACGGTATTACAGTAATCGGGAATTGGAGCGCACTCACGAGATTTCGTTGGTGCTGGCGCAACTGTGGCCGAAAGAATCGACCACCGACGACATGTTGGTAGGGCTGTTGTGCGGTGAGATCGCTAAGGGCGGACGAGCAACGGTCGCCTACGAGCTCCTCACGTTCCTGTCTCAGCGTGTCGACGACCTGCCGACGGACATCATCTCCTATAATCGGAGCGATCTGACCCAGGCTGAACCTGTGACCTTGGTGAGGAAGTTGAAGCCAACCGTAATCTGGGCGAACTGTACGGAGGATTACGGGCAGTATCTAAGCGATCATGATCCTACGGTTTGGTGCTACCTGGACCTGGATGAACTTGCACCGGATAACTTTGACTTCGACGAGTTTTGTAAGGCACATCGAGAGAACGGAGAGCTGTCGTCGGACGACGACCCGGGTCGCATAGCCATCGCTGGGCTATCGGAGGAGGAGGAGGAGGAAGCGTGGTCGACGTCAAAGGAAGAAGAAGAGGCGTCGACCCCTAAGCCCCGAGAGGCTCCACCAGCACGAGCGCCACCTGCCGTTCGAGGAGGATCCACGTTGAATCACACCGTTCCCTCAAACACTGCCAGTCGGCACGATGGCGCAACAACCTCCCGCCGGCGCCGCCGCTCTCGCTCACCATCTCCCTCCGTTTTCGCCCCCTCCACGCTTCGTCCCCGTCCTCCTCCCGGCCCGGACATACCGTCCTCGTCCCGTCTTTCGCCGCCCCCTTGATTACCTCTCCTTCCGTCCCCTCCCCCACCTTGAATTCCCCCTGGACTATCATCACGGTGTCTTCGCCAGCTGCGCATTCTGTCATCACTTCGCCCCACGTCTCCTGTGCACGGTCTTCCCCCATCGTTCCCCCTCCTTCCCTCTCAATATTCTCCTCTTCAGTGTCACCTGGGTACAGTTCAACCATATGGAGTTGTACTATATCATTTCCAGCATCTCAACAAAAAAATTCCCACGAGAAATGAAAGTTGAAAAAACATTCCATAAAAAAAAAAATCCTTCATATTTATAAATTATCATTCCAATGTTCGTTCAATTCTAAAATTTTCAGTTTTATTTGATAAGTTTCCGTCTAAATATGAGCTTTCCCTTCCAACTACATCTATATGTTCAAAATGGAATGAAAGTCTAGACGAGTTTATGAAATATTTTAATTAAATTTTCATTCTACTACAACAAATATCTTCTAATTTAGATTGGGTTAACCTATTTATGACTGAAAATCCTTACTTAGAGTGACAGTCCAATTAAAATATTTCATGAACTCATCCACACTTGCATTCCATCTCTAGCATGCAGTCCAAATAAGAAGGGATACCCTATTCTTGGAATGAAAGTTTGCAAGTAAGATGAAAATTTTTAAAATTGGAATGACAATTTTTAAGATGGAATGAAAATTTGAAATTTAGATTGTAATTTTACTATAGAATGATTATTTAATTCCATGAATTTTTTTCGTTGCTTTCCCGCCGTGGAGGACTACGAGTCCGTAAGGGATAATGTCCTCCGCACCATCCCCTGCTTATATCCCGATTACCTACTATCCCTGTCCCGACCCAATCATCGATTCCCCCGCGCACACCGGATCGTCCATTTCGTCGATCTCGGTGGCGAAGCGGCGGATTCCCATCTGAGTGGCCCCGACCTCTCCATCACCCTCTCCTTGTCGACTACCGGCGGGCGGACTTCAGAGCACATGGACAATCAACAGACGATGATGGCGTCACCTGGACAATCTCCGACGATCGAGAAGGCAAGGGGATTCCAGCAGCTCGAGCCAACAGACTCGCGAAGATATTGCAATTGACGTGGACGTCAACATGACCTTTGGCTCAATTCTCTGTGCTGATGCGGACACTTTCTCTCCTGATACGCTTGGTTCCTCATTCATCCTCTCTTCCCCCTCCCTCCTCCTTCGCCATAGCATGCAATCAGGAGGTCGCATAATTTTGGAACCCCCTGCGCGTCACATATGTGACCGACCAACTTCCGGACATGCGCCATCTTTCGGACATCTTTCCTTCAAGTTCCCATGTTTCCTCTGCATCTAGATGTGTCTTGATCGCCCCCTGAAAACCTCCCCTATGTTCTTGCTCGATTAAAGGTACCTCGTTTGTTAGCACTAGTAGTTCTTGAAATTCCGACAATTTTTTTTTTTTAATTTGGAAATGCATGGGAATTACGCGCGCCTAAGTGAGCGCACTCGGAATTTGGCTCGACAGTTAGGAATTCCGGAATTAACGGAACGCAACGTGTCCTTCACGCGCCAATGTTCTCGTCCTCGACATGGAAAACTCTGGGAATTTTGTAGGAATAGGGATGGGCGTAGGACTTTTCCCAGGTCTACTTGGTGATTTTAATTTTTGAATTAGCGTAGGACTGGGAAAAACTGCAACTGTTTCAGTGCCTATTCTTCTCGTGCTATTCGGCACCATGCAAATGAGCTCCCTCCTCCTTCCTTCTCGCGCTCCTCTCAGCGACTTCCCTCGCATGCACATGCTTTCTCGCTCCCTCCCCCTGTAACTGTTTTTCTCCCTCCTTCCCCTCGCGCGCCCTTTTTCTCTTTCTTGATCATCTGAATCTTGGACCCGTTTCGCGCTATCCTTCGCACTCTTCTTCTTCCTGCTCTAAAACCTGCGCTCGAAAACCCGGTCGATCCTCCCTTTCCATCTAGCCAAGGAGAAGCGCCGTGTAAGAGGAGATTCCTACTGCGCGCCGAGTATGATTGGCTGAGATCGGGTTGTGCGGGATCAACATGGCTTTCAACGGGCGATTACCCTCAAGCCCCCCCTTACCCTCCTCTACCCTATTCTTCATCTCTCCGCGCATCTCTCTCCCTTCTCGCAACTATGAATTTCGTCGGCGCATCCGCAAAGCTCTCTCTCAACTCGTCAGCCAGCTTCCAGGAAGCAGTGGCTAGATGGTGTGTGTGTAATGCGAGTCGAAAAGTCCCGACGGGCTGACTATAGACTGGCTGGCAGTAGCGCATGATCGCCACGACGGAGTCTGGGATCGAGGCAAGCCCGCGCAAAAACTAAGTCGGCGGGGTGACGATCGCGATGGTGGCAGGGGGCACGCAACGGCCGAGACCGTCGGTGCATGTATGAGAAGTGACAGGAGTTGAAGGGATGAATGACCCGGGGCCATGATGGAACTTTACGGCGGATGCGCTCCCTTATCTTTGTCCTATTCTTTGGTGTGAGTGCAATTTCACAGCAGTTAAGCCGGAACTCTTTTTCAACTTCAGACTTTTGTGTGATTGTTCTCTCTGAAATTCATTTCGCTCGCTTATCTTCTGATGGGAATGACTATGCATGTTTGGGAATGGTTGCCTGATGTGCCTGCGCTTTGATTAGACTCGGGATAACGGGCCAGGGGTGCAGAGCACACAAAGCACCTAACAATGTATGGCTTCCATTTTCGCATCTTCCGCAACGAGTAATTGCGAATGCTTTATCATTGATGGATTGGTCTTTGATTCGACTGAAGAATTATGGTGAATAGGTTGCGAATGAGTCGTTGGCTAGAACAATATTTTTGGGATTTTATTCGAGAATGCAAGAGTGTTTAGAACTGATGATGTTGTGATTTCGGGCGGGTCTTCACTCCAGAATACGTTCCGCATACCTTCTGCGGCTTGCCCCCGCTTCACAAAATCCGAAAGGCGATTTGCCTTCTCGAACAAGAAGAAGGGCGCCACGCACGACCTGCATGCGTGTAAGTACCGTCCCCACGATCCCTGTATGAAAAATTATGGGCGAAACCATAGACTATTGCAAGCTCTCTCCCTCTCTCTCGCCCCGAGAAAGGAAGGATGTTCCCACTTTGTTTTGCATGTTTCAGATAGATAAAGGCGATAATAAGAAAAGCCCGGTCGATAAACGGGGATTAACAATGAATGATTATTGATTGATTTGCCATGTGGACTGAAGGCCCCAACCCGACTGGGCGCCGGCCTCCCGTATTCCCGCCACGTCCCTTTCCGTACAACGAGAACAAGACACGTGTATGCGAGTGGGACGTACGAGAAGCCGTCATCAAGATCGGCGCCCGATATTATTTCCCTCCTGAAACTCGATGCTCAGGATTTGTCGGAGCAAGCTTTGTCACTATTGATACACATTTTTCGCCTTATTCACTACTATTACCGTTTAACGAGTTGATTGTCATTCCGTGGACGGCAGTGGCGCCCCATTGGCCCAACACTCTGTGTAGCGACTGTTGTCGCCTCGAGCGTTACCAACCCAAGCGGTTCCACTACCGCGTACGGAGTGAGGACGAACACAAAGAACGAGCTACACGATTGAGACCCTCCACGTCAGATTCTGAGTTGTGCAATGAACGGCGTCGGGACTTGATCCAAAAACGAGACACTAAAAGTGTACCCGCCCCCTTTCATGCTAAGCAAAGGGCAGCGGCCCGCTGGGAAGTTCAACGATACTTTTTGGATTGAATTTTCCCGCACCGAACGTCCCACGCGCGCCCTTTTCTCCCTAGATATCCGCGTAGTGACGGACCCTCCCTTCTTGCTAAGTTGGACCAACACGGGGGATTTTGGTTCTGTCCGTATCCTCACACTCAATTTCCAAAAATCCTTGGCACACCCCATTTTGCTGTCTGTCCAGAGCCCCCTTCCGCAATCGAAAACACTCCGAACGGAAGACAGCCAAGGGCGTGAGGTTGCACGTCACACTCTCAGCGTCGGCTGTAAGTCTATATATGTATTCCTACTGTATAATATATGGTGTGCACTTAGATCTCATCTGTAAGTCAGTATGTGTCTATGTTCTCCATGGGCACCATTGTCAATGTCCGCAGACCTAATGCAACCACCTGGCCACCCTTCACGGGTCTACGATAATGTGTGGCTCCTGTGGACCCGAAGGCTATACCAGCTACTCTGCTCTTGTGAACTACGTGTCAGGCTGGGGGACATGCAGAGTCAGGCAAACACCACCCAGACTCGCACAGGGGAAGAGAAGGTTGGGTGGAGTCGAACCCATGGCCTACCCCATGTTATTTCAGAGCTCTAACCACTGGGCTACCACATCTTGTAGACCCACTTGGTTTGGTAGAATTGTCATATGCGTGTGCCGTACAAACACATGGACTTGGTCCGTGATTTTCCCTTCGGCCAGGGCAGACAGACCCTCAGAGTTGGATGTTCCCAATCGAATTTGGCAGTAAGAGTAGGATTTTCCCAACCGGATTTGGCGGTAATCTACGGTCGTACACGTGCATAGAAATCCTGTTGCGAAAACACTCAGGAAGGGCCAAAAATCTACTGCCTTTTTTTCCTTCCGTCAGCGCAGCCTAGGGCCTTGCCGAACTGCACATGAAACGAAGAATTTCACGAGTTCTTCTCGTGTTCACATCGCCACACAGCCACAAAAATTACCATCGTCAAAAAGAACTCGCGAGAAGTCAGGTTGTGGTCAAAAGAAAAGGAAACTGAGGTTCACCAGGAGTTTGCTGCCGCCCGCCTGCAGCACCTCGATTGTCGCGGGTCCTTGCAAGGACCCACGAGCCACCTGCCAACTCTCACGAAGCCGGGATGTGTCCAAGGTAGTGGATTGTCTTTTGTGACTTCTGCAAGCGATCAAGAGTAGTCCTTGTTTTTTCTTTTTTCGTTTTTTCGTACTCACTGGTTCTCATTTCGCGTGCTCCGTATGGCCATCCAGCAGGAAACCAAGCCAGAAAACGTTTTTTTTTTTTTTTTTGGGGAAAAACCAAGGAGTCCATTATCATGAAAGACCATGAGGCCCATGTACCTTCCTGGGCATGCTTGGCGCTCGCCACCTAGAGATAGACCACTGGATCCCCCTATAGGCATTGAGCAGAGTCTGCTGATGTTCCTAGGGGGTGGGACCACCACCTGAGGGGAGGCACAGGGATTGGTCCTGTTGGCATGGTCCCTGATGCTACTGGCTGTTCCCTTCCCCTAGCCAGTATCGCCCACCTGCAGGTCGGGAGCAGCCCCCACATATTCTCTCGTGAACACCATTCTGGCTGCTACGGGGTTCCCCGCCTAGCCTACAATTAGGAGTAGGAGGAGTGGCAGGTACGTAGTGTGAGGTGAAATTGAGAGACGAACATAGGTTTATATTAAAAAAACGGAGACCTTCCAGCGGCCTAGCTCAGTTGGTAAGGCACGCAAGTGGCATTCAGGAGGTCGTGGGTTCAATCCCCATTGGCCTCATGTACCTTCCTGGGCATGCTTGGCGCCCGACACCTAGAGATAGCCCGTTGGTCCCCCCAATTGGCATGAAAAAGCAGTGTCTGCTGATGTTCATAGGGGGAGGGGTAATCGGGGAGGCACAGCGACTGGCCACTCAGATGATGCTCGGTCCCTCTGCTACCGGCTGTCCCCTGGCCGGTGTCCTCCATTGGGGGTTCCCTGAAGGCAATCAAGGCCACCCTGGGCTGAAAAGGCCACCCGATGTCAGATTAGACACAATATTGAATTTACCTGGGCTGGTTAGTCCGATGATAATACCTCAAAAAAAAAAAAAAAAAGCCCGGAAAAACACGGCACAGTCTGGGACCACCATTACCCAGTTTCGGCTCGTGGGTCTTACCCCAACAACACTATGCAGAGCCTCACGAACCGGCATCAACCCCCAAAACGAACTTCCGCCCTCTCTAGCCCTCCCGAGAAAAAAAAAATTCGTTTCGTTTCGTTTCGTTTACCCTGCCGTGCTGCGAGGCCCGTAGACGACCGGTGACGTCATCTCCAGCTGTCGCGAAGGAGGTAATGTTACCGCTGTGCGCGCGTCAGGGCCGCACGTGTGGAGCGGGGGGGGAGGGATGGTTTGCGCCTTGGCTGCTCGCGTATGTGTGTGTTGTCGCACTCGCTATACACAACTCCACCCAGAAAACACCATAGCCTTTTTTTTGTTTTTTTTGTTTTTGTTTTGTGTGTGTGTGTGTGTGTGTGTGTGTGTGTGTACCAAACTTCGGCGGGACATTTTTGTTATTTCTTTCTGTGTAGTAGTGTTGTTTCCAAGAAAGTGTTGAGACTGAGAAGGGTTGTTGCTGGTGGAGGTTCTCTGCCGATCAGGATCTCTGCCGATCAGGATGCTCCACATCAGTTGATTGATGGATTGATTGCGTGATTGATTGATTGATTGGTTGGTTGATTGGTCGATTGATTGGTTGATTGATTGATCGATTGATCGGTTGATTGATTGATCGATTGCGTGATTGATTGATTGATTGATTGATTGATTGATTGGTTGATTGGTGAATTGATCGATCGAGCTGTGCCATAGTTTTCGTAGAAAGGCAAGAAAAAAAAATAAAAACAAGAACAGAAAAGTCACAAAGAACATGGACTTGGGAAAAAAAAGAGGAAAAGAAAAGATGTAAGCCGACAAAGAATGTACAGCGGACGAGGGCAAAAAGAGCGGGAGCAGGAAGGGGGAGAGCTGAGAGGGTCCATAAAGTCTGTTTTTTTCAAGAGATATTAAGATTGGGAGATGAATGGAAGGGGGTGACAGAGACGGGACGAGTCATTGGGGGTGGTGGAGGATATGAGGGAGAAAGAGAGGACTCATTTGGGTGAGGGAAGAAAGGTATGAGGGAGGAAGGGAGGGAGTCATTCGAGGGGAAAGGAGAAATATATGAGAGAGAAACGGAGGACTGATGCAGAAATGATTGGGAT